TGTCACCAGCGTAGTCATGAAATAAAAGTAACAGTGAGATGGTGTGTTTTAGGATACTTGATAGCCAATAGGAAAATATTTTGCTGTTTTAATTAAGGTTCAAGTTCTGAAGTTATTCTTGATCCTAGACTCAGATGATTCTTAAGACTTTATACTAATCTCTGTAGCCACCAACACTGTAAGGATATACCAATCATTGGGGTGTGGTATTTTAATTAAAAATAAATCCTACTGTTTTATGCTTTTCCTAAAACATGCTGGTCTTAACTTGGGCTGCCGTAACAAAATACTATAGATAAGGTGGCTTAAAACAACAGAAATTAATTTTCTTACAGATTGAGAAGCTATAAATACAAGATCAAGGTGTCAGCATGGCCAGTGTCTGGAAAGACTCTTCCTAGCTTACCTCTGTGTCTTCATGTGGCTTGAGAGGAAAGCAAGCATGCCCTAGCTCTCTGATGTCTCTTACAAGGTTTTAAAAAGGTTTTTGCCAAGTCTGCAGAACTATTGCTTTTGGGAATATAAAATGTAGTCTGTATAAATGGTGAATGAACCTAATTACATATAGTTTATGATCTTAGTAATTATTTACATGGAATAGGCCATTAGGAGTGAAATGGATGAAGAGCTCCACAATCAGCTCTTCAAAAACTGAAAGAACTCGATGTATCAAGAGGTCCTTTATGTTAAAGCTGTAATTATAAATTGTATTTTAAAATTACACAGAGAAGGCCAGGTAAAAGCAAGGATACTATGTTGGTTGGGGTTCTCCAGAGAAACAGAACCAATAGGATATATAGAGATACATATAAGAGGAGATTTATTGTAGGAACTGGTTCACATGGTTATAAAGTTTGATAAATCCCACAGTCTTCCTTTTGTAAACTATGGAGCCAGAAAAGCTGGAATTAAATCCATTTGAGTCCAAAGGCCTGAAAACTGGGGGAGCTTCTGATGTGAGTCCTGGAGTTCCTGAGGCCCAAGAATCAAGAGCTCAGATCTACTAGCTCAAGAAGAGAGAGAATCTGTCCTTCCTCCACCTTTTTGTTCTGTTCAGGCCCCCTTAGAGGATTAGATGTCTGTCACATCATCATGGTGAGGGTGAAACTTCTTTACTCTCTACTGATTGAAATACTAATCTCTTCCAGAAACACCTTCACAGACAAACTCAGAAATAAGGTTTCACTTATAGCCCAATCAAGTTGACACATACAATTAACCATCACAGATACCTCTCTTTTTCCTACCATTCCTCCCTTGGCGTCCGCATCAGGGTTCTTCTATCCTCCATGTACATCGTTATGTCCTCAGCGGGTGTAATTTGACTGGAACTACATATGAATCCTTGAAATGGCAAGGTGTTTATAATAAGGGTTTATTCCCTTCTTAATTGATAACAGTAAAATTATATTTAGAGAGAT